CGCTGCGCGCCTCGGCCGCAGCTCCGTGCGCCCCGAGGGACCCCCTCGGCCCCAGCGCGGGGGTTCTTCCCCCTGCGGGCGTGGGGAGCTCTGCAGCTCCCGCCGCGCCGTGCTTCCATTGCTCTGAAAGAAGGCAGCTCTGAAATGCGGGGTTGGTTCGCGCTGCAGCTCTTCCAAAGCCTGCAGATACCTACGAAGGATTTTTTTCAGAAGAAAAAGAAAGAAAGAAAAAAAGTTGCTTGATCTCGCCTGGGTAGTGGAAGTAAAACAAGGGTGGGGGGGGGGGGATATAAATGGGAAATGATAGCTGGCTTTTTTCCCTCCGAAGAACAACCGAAAGCCTGGTTTTTGTTTGTTTGCTTCCCGATCCCCGAGTTGCAATGAGTGGCTGGAGGGAGGGTTGTACTCGTGAGTCTCTGCAGCCTGTTACTAGTGAATCAGTCGATTGCAGAAATTCAGCGTCATCTGAGCCAAGCCGGTGGCAGGGATGTGTAACATAACACATCCTTTATTAGAAGAATCTGGTAGAAAAGCTTCCTTGGCTCAGCTAATGTGTCTGTGGTTGCTGGAGGGTTGTCTGTGTACGTGCATTTGTATCTTAAGTCTGGGAGATGTGTGGGTTTGATTGAAAGATGCCGTATTAATTCTTCTAGGCAAGACATCTGTATATTTGTGACTTCCACAAAAACTTAATTCAGAGTGTGAGAAACAGAAGAAAGAGGAAAGGCAGCGATGATGATGGTGACTCACCAGTACAAGACATCGACACTCCAGAGGTAGCTTAACAGTTGGGGGGTTTTCTAACTGTTGTGTTAAGTTGTTCTTAACATCTACCAAGTCTGCACAGACGCTGCTTTCCCACCCTTTTAGCTCTCCTTATTTTGGGGCGTGTGGGAAAAGGGAAGACTCCTGATTCACTCAGTTCTTAACAAAAACTGACTGAATTTTACAGTGTATTTTCTGTATTAATTGTGCAGAGTAGAATGAACAAAACTCTCTAGGTTGTTTTTAAGTGTCTACCAGTTCTCTTGGAAAACTGCTGTTTTCAACTTTCTCCTCCATAGTGTTGCCTCTCCAGCACCCTGCTAGAAGAGGTGCCTTGCTTACGTATCGGTAAAACTGGTCTTCTGCAGGAGCTGACAACTCGAAGGGAATTGCACGTAGGACTCGGGATATAAATGCTTCGCTGCCTCATCCCTCTGATCTTTCTTCTGTGCTAAATGTGTTGCAGATGGCTCTTGCAGTTACTCCATTGCCTTAGTCACATTAAACACAGAAAGTTTAGTGATAGCAGCTCTTTGTTTTTACCCCTTGTTGGGGATGCGACGTTCAGGGAGCTGTGCTAGAAAAGGGCGGAGAAGGATGGTCTTTTTCTGACCTGTTTTCTCCACTGCAGACCAGTGAAACCTCACCCATTATAAAGTCAACTACAGCTTTCAAACCTTTTGCATAGTGCAGTGGGAGAGACTGCACCTAAGGCGCTACTTTTTTGTTGTTGTTTTTTTTTTTTTTTCCTGCGTGTGCGCTGGGTTATTTCTGCTACAGTCCAGCTTAGCAGGTGCTGTTCAGTGTGTTAATTTTGAGCAGAGGCTGTTATGCCTACCTGGTCCATTCTAAGATGTATTTCTAAAGCATTCTTCAGAAATTGCTCTGTAAGTGTTAGTTTAATGACATCCTTATGGTCAGCATCTGCAGATACCAGCAATATAAGTGATGAAACTTTGTGCAAGAATCCCTGCCTAAAGGCACGTGGCTCCAGTGTGAAGGTTAAGAGGATCCTTTAAGAGGATTTTAGGGGATTGGGAGTAGTTTGATGCTGGGTTGTGTTGTTTGTTAAATATGTGGGATTGCTTCTTTGAAAGCTCTGTCTAAAGTTAATGTTCTCTGTGGCTTCAGGTAGCTCTCTGGCACAGTGATAATCACAGCTCTTCTGCAAGCCTGTTTTATTTTCTCATGCAAGAATTATAAAACATGTCACAACCGATGGGTGTCTCTAGAATAAGAAAGCAAGCTGGTTTTAATGGTATTACTGCAGGAAAGAAAACTGCCTGGGAAGTATTTTTGAGGAGTTTCAGCTGGCCATTTGGACAACGGCAGTATGTTCATCCCACGTGATTACTGTATGCCTTAGATGCCCGTTGGCTCTTGACCTGCTTTATTTTCAATTGCTATCCAGTTTACTAAGGAAAAAAAGGCATCCTTCTTCTGAAGACTTGCAAAGCCCCTCCCATTTCCATCTCAGTCGCAACCATCATTACCTGTTAGAAGTGATTCCTATAGGAGGGGAAGAGGCTTCCGTCGTACTGGTAGCTCCACAGACTTGGTGGAAAGCAGCTGCTCCTCCTCTGCGTGGTGCTCTAGGGTGTGGGTTCCCCACTGTGACTTGAAGTGGAATTTATTCCCTGTAAACTTTAGAATACCAAAGGATGCGCCATCTTCTGTCGTGCAAGGCGGCATCACATCTAGTTTGGCCAGGTTACCAAGTCTGCAGTAGCACTGCTCTTGATTGAATATTTTATAGTTGAGGCCACTAAATTAATTTAAAGTAGAAGTGAATGCCTTAACCAATCTTTAATGGAGTGATTTGGAGAATACTACTGTGACTGCAACTGATCTAGCAGAATTTCTCGTTCAGCCTGCTTCCTCAGCTTATTTTCCCACTCAGTCATCTGATTAAGCTCTCTTATGTTGTCAAGGAGGGTGGGAGGATAAACCGTTGCTGTGGGAGAAGTGACTGGTGATCAGAGTTCATGGGATTCAAAACTGAGGGAGTACTGGGTTAAGGTTGTGTATTTGTATCCCTAAGAGAGCCTTGTGTAATTCTCTCAACTCTCAGCTTGAGCTGAAAAGCAGTTTTGGACAGCTATGCCTCTGCATGTAACTGCTGCATTGTGCTTACATAGCAGGGTTATGTTTGGAGTGCAAGAGCAGCTGTTTTCTTCTCTCACCTCAAGCCAAGAAAACTTTGTGTTCTAGACTTTTTCCTGGATCTAATACATGCTTTCTCACGGTGCAGATGAGCTGTATCTTGCATGCAACTCGTGTAAAATTGGATGGCTGAAATCACAATATAGGGTCCTCCTTTGAATCAGCATCTTCATAGATGATGTATGGAAGTTGTTAGTGGGCTTTTGTGTTCTCGTGCTCAAACTGGGGAACAAAAAAACCCAAAAACCTAAAACTGATTGAAGGGCAATAACAAGTTCCAAATATTGTCCACTGCTAAAGGGAGGCAGAGCAGTGCTTGGTAATAATAAAATGCTCTTGACCGAACTGGGCTGTTTTGTTTTCTGATGGAAGGTGTGGGGTGGAGTTTGTTTTTTGTCAAAATGAAATCTGCTGAGTTGGTGATCTATGCTTGTGTGTCTGTGAGATTCCAAAATGTTTTTGAGATTAATTATTAATCACTGAATCCTTTTCAGTTACATTATGTTATTTTCCTCCCCCTCCTCCCTTTTCTTCTAGGTTGATTTATATCAGTTACAAGTAAACACACTTCGAAGGTACAAAAGACACTTCAAGCTACAGACCAGACCGGGACTTAACAAAGCACAGCTTGTTGAAGTACGTATGAGTGTTTGTTCCATAATAGAAAATGCAGCTTGCTCTGGCATGTGGTTTTCTATACAATGTGATCCTTGCATAAAGAGCGTATGTAATCTGGATTTTATGAGAACAAAAGGGAACTGCTTATCTAGCTTCCTTCATTGGCCACAGGTACTGAGCCAAGTAAATCAAAAGTAAAAGTTCTTTTCACAGGAGGAATTCTTAACTTCTGAAAGGAGTGCGTGCTGCTTAAAAATACAAAGTGTTAAGTTGGAACAGTAGGATGATCTGTGTGTCCCTGAATATCATACAATCATGGATTTACG